GCCTAACCAACTGAGCCACCCAGGGGCCCTACTTTTGTTTATGTTGATGTTCCCAAAGCCCTGCAAAATCCTGAAGTTATTTCTGTATCATCATACAATCAGTTGTATTCAGGAGAATTTTAGTAATGTGTATGTTCTATTGTCCTTTCATCAGAAATTGGAAATTTGAGGTATGTATGGAAAGTCTGAGCAAACCAGTGCCCCAACTTTTCTCTATAATGAATAAAGAAGAGTTTGAAAACAAAATGTTTTAACAAGGACAGTAAATAAAATTTATCAGGCTTATTCGTTATAGTATTAGTTTTCTGCGGCTCTTATAACCCAACACAAACTCAGCATATTTACTTTCTCATGCTTCTGGAGGCCAGAAGGCTGGCAGGTTTCATTGAGCGACACTGGGGTGTTGGCAGGGACTTGCTCCCTCCAGAGGCTCGAGAGGAGCGTCTGTCCTGCGCCCTTTCCAGCTTCTAGACTTGCGGCTCTCCCATCCCTTGCTTGTCTCCTGTTCCTCCAGTTTTCAAGCCACAGGGTAGCGCTTTCCTTCTGTCCCCACATTGCTTTCCTCATTGGTCGCATCCCCCTCTGCCCACCCCTCATTAGGATACACGTGATGACATTTAGGGTCCACTTGAATAATCCACGATGATCTCCCCATATGGAGATCCTTCCTTTAATAACATCTACAAGGTCTCCTTTGCTATATAAGGGAACACTCGCATGTTCCAAGGGTTGGGATGGGGGCATCTTTGCTGCCCGTATTCAGCGGACCACAGTTATAAACGGAAAGGCATGCTTGGTGAAGAATGGGTTAACTCCTCATTCTCTTCACTGGGTCTTTCAATTAGATTTGTCCTTCCCTGTCCCTTCTACTCCACAAAATATCTAGTCTTTTGTCTTCCTTTCCTTGTTCTGTCGGTTCCCACCCACAGCTCAGATGAGTCATTTCCCCAATCTCTGACTGGGGAAATGGGAGTCTGGTAAATATTTGTAAAGATACCAGAATAGGCAGGTGCTGCTTCCCCCAGAGTCTGCTCCTCCCCGGCATACTGCTGCGTCTGCAGCTATCTGACGGAGGGGCCCTTGGCTGCGTCTTGCCTTCTCGCCTGCTCCTCTGTCCTTCCTGAAGTAGGGACATCCAAAGCTGCAGTGCAAAGACAGGGTGTTGGCCCTGAGTTCAGCCTTAGCTATTCAGTTCCTTAGCTTGGATTTATCACTTCACCTCTGTGACCTTCAGATCCCCCGTCATAAAATGGGGAGTCGATAACAGGTCTTTCTAAAGATCATACCCACCGCATCCCAGACTGCCCACAAGTATTCCTGTTCTGGACCCTGCCTGGGCCACCGGGGTCATGGCCACATGCCCTCCATGCCCGACGTGTGCAGTCTGACCCCTGGCCCCTGAGGCCTGTATGCAGGGGTGGCCATGGGCACGGACCTGCTGCCACAGGCCCTCGTCGTCCAGAACAAGGGGCAAGAAGGCCTGGGCCTGGGGCAGCAGGGGGTCTGGGGAACATGGCCATAGATTTGGGCCTCGACACAAGCAGAGGTTTCATAGAAGGAGAATTGAAGGTCAAAAGTCCTTGTTTTTAAGGCTTTCATACATCTTTCCATGTGGTTCGATTTGTCTTTTATCTTTAGGCTTCAGGTTATCTTAAAATGGAGTCCTCCCACATTATAAAAACATTCAACCATCTTTTTTTGTGTAACCTTGTAGTTGGATTGATTATTTTGAATGATTTTTAAATGATTAAATGATACATACAAACCCACACAACACACCAAACAATAAGAACTGGAAGCAAAAGCCTGTAATAACTCCTTTCCCAATCCAACCCCCAGGCAGTAACTTGGGTAAGCTGTCAGGTGTGTAACCTTTCACACTTCCTCTGTGCTCCCAGGTAAGTGGGTACGTAGCAGTCCCCACTGCCTTTTCCCCCCACACAACAGGATTATATTATTAATATCATTGTTCAGTTTTCTTTTTCACTTAATATTAGAAGCACAGAAAATAATTTTGAGGGCCCCAAAAAGAAATAGAGTTTTGTGTATGTACCTATTTGCCCACTAAACCAAAGTGGTCACTATTAATAAGAGTGAAATATAGTCAACGTGTAAGCCTATATTTATGTGATACCAATCTTACTGTTTTATTTATTTGTTTGTTTGTTTGTTTATTTAATTTGGAATGTGATACTGATTTTAAAACCGTTCTTTCAGGCTCACCATCATGGATACTCTTTCGGAGGCAAATGGCACCTTTGCCTTAAGTCTTCTGAAAAAGCTGGGTGAAGACAACTCGAAAAATGTGTTTTTCTCACCCATGAGCATCTCTTCTGCCCTGTCCATGGTCTTCATGGGCGCAAAGGGAAACACAGCAGCCCAGATGTCCCAGGTACGTACCCGAAGCCATTTCTGGGCAACAGTAAATGCTGTTCATTTGTCAGTTGAGCTGGTCTTCACTTTCACCTCCAGGATTTGCTCCTGACACGTCCCTCTGCTGGTGTTGCGGGATGGGGACAGAGTTGCCGGGTGACACGTTAGCCCTAAGCGAGCGAGCACCCTGGAGTGGTGCCTGGGATCTGTGAGGGAGGAAGTGGTATGCGCCATTTAGAAGGATGAGAGAAGTCACCAGCCCCGACTGCTTTATACATGAGTTTGAGTTTGTGAGTAGGGATTCAGTCATAGGGCCCATGCTGAGTTCTGTGATATTCTTTGGATGTTGTGACTTGCTTTTCAGTTGTTAGAAATTATTATTTTAATTTTGTCACTGAAGTGTAAAACCTTCTTAGAATGGCACTGGTCAGCCCCTAATGTTTTCAGTGGCGTTTCAGTTGTTTGCTGTTGACTAACCAGTACCCTAAACTTCGCAGTGTAAGATGCCAGTTTACTGGGACCTGACTCTGGCTGTGTCGGGAGATGCTTCTGCTCCACTTGGCCCCAGCCGGGTCACTAGTGTGGGGTCTCGGGCCTCCTCCGCATGTCTCGTTGGCAGGGTAGCCTGGGCTTCCTTATGGGTTGGCACGCAGCTTCCAAGAGGACCAGCTTAAATGCACAAAGGTTTATCAAGCCCTTTCTGTTTCAGGAGTGGCCTGTGTTTGCGGAGATGGGAGGCCTGGTTGGCAGCCTTATTTGCAGACAGACTCAAGTAGTGAGCCCACAGAGCGTGGCTTGCAGAGGGGCACCGCTCTGCCCCTACCCCCCCCCCCAGGAAGTGCCTTTTGTCTTCCATTGGACCAGTCTTCTCTTACGCCCGATCTGTACAGTTCTTAGGCTGAGTTTAGTGTTGTATCCATTTCCCGAAGCCCGGGCACACTGATGTTATGTGTTTGTATTCTGTTTTGGATTTCAGACACTTTCTTTAAGTAAAAGCGGTGGAGGAGGCGATGTCCACCAAGGGTTCCAGTCACTTCTCATGGAAGTCAATAGGACCGATGCTGCGTACTTGCTTAGAACCGCCAACAGGCTCTTTGGAGACAAGTCTTATGAATTTCTCTCAGTAAGTCATACTCACTGTTTTTGACCAAGGAAGTAAAGATGCCAAGGGGGTGGGGAGGAGGGGTCATGAGGTAATAGCAGAAAGCCTGGAGGTTATGAATTCATTCCGGTGGGCAGGAACTTGGCTTTCCATTCACTAACTTCATGCATTCCCTTGAACCCTGCTTCAGTTTTATCTGTAAAATGAGGCTTATCACAGATACCATCCAGATTTTTGTGAAGCTTAAATGACATAATTATAAAAGAATTAACATGGAGCAAACACAATTCAAGGTGAATTGGCCAAGGGGCGCCTGGCTGGCTCATCAGAAGAGCATGTGACTCTTGATCTCAGGGTTGTGAGTTCGAGCCCCACGTTGGGTGCAGAGATTACTTAAAAATAAAATCTTTAAAAAAAAAAAAGGTAAATTGGCTGAAACAAAGAAGTGATCAAAATGAATATTTCTAATCATTGTTTTCCACATATTGATAATTTTTTGTGCATTGTGACTCAGTCAGCTTTTTACACTTGTAAATATTTTTATCGTTTTTTTCCAGTGCAGAATTTTTACAAAGTTATCTATCTAATTATACTGGTTCTCTTTATTTATAGTGCTTTCAGGCTTTTTTTTTTTTTTTCAAAAACTAGTCAAGTAATATGTGAACACATTCTTGTTATACAATGAGTATGTTCTTGTTAGATAAAAATGCAGGTAAGGAAGACAAAGCAAGAGCCCTCACAACCCCTTCCACACCTCATCACTCCCCTCCCAATATAAGAGCTTTTATAGATTTGAGGTGTATCTCCCACACATGGAGAAATCTGTTTGGTGGGGGTTTTCTCTACCTAACGTCATTATACCATAATATTATTTCATAACTTGTTTCTTTTCACCCAACGCTGTGTCTGAAAGTCTTGCATCTTGGGCATCTACCTCTGTTTCACTGTTATCTGCTATTCTTTAGTATGGATGTACTGAAACATACATCGTACACATCATTTAGACAGTGAACATTATTACTATATGTGATCCTGTGCCTCGGGGCGTGTGTTACTCCAAGATGGATTCGTAGAAGGGAGGAAGAGAGTGAAGCTTTGAAGTTACAGCAAATATTGCCAGATTGTCCAAAGTGCTGTGGTCATTTACATTCTCTCCAGAGTATTGGCAGAGTGCTCATTTCCACTCACCATCATCAACACCTCATGTGGTTAACCTCTTAAATTTTGATGATTAATGAGATTGAACAACTTTCCTTATGTTTATTGAATAAGTATCTTTTCTGAGAATTTTCTTTGCACGCTTTTTATTAGGCTATATATTTCTTACTGTTTTTTGAGTTCTCTCTATATTCAGGCCAACAGTCTTATTCTGTGATACGATTTTTTTTCATTATGTTTAAACTTGTTTCAGACTCAAATTGTTTTAAGGTAATTGGAGTAAAGTAAATGTAGTCAAGCGTGAGGTCAAATATTGGCAAGATTTGTTCACCACACTGTGATTTTTTTACAACCTGTCTTATTTTATCAGTCTTAGGCAATTGTCATCTTTTTATAAGCCCTCAGACGAATGCCGTATCCTCATTCACAGGGAAAGACAAGGAAGCTTAGAGAAACAAAGTGATTTTTTAAGGTCACACAGCTAATAAGTTGCAGGACCAGCGTTGGTAGCTACTGCGCCACGTTACCTCTGTCATGCTGTCTTGAGGGAGAAACGTGAAATCCTGTAATAGAAAACCAGGCCTGCAAAGGGGGGTGAAATATTTAGCCGTAAGCTGTTCGGAAGAAAGATTGGGAAAACATTCCTTTTTTTTTTTTTTTTTTTTTATATATTTATTGGGGACAGAGAGAGAGAGAGAATCACAAGCAGACTCCACGCTGAGCGCAGAGCCCGACATGGGGCTCGATCTCACGACTCCAAAATCATGACCCGAGCAGAAATCAAGAGTCGGATGGATGCTCAACCGACTGAGCCACCCTGTCGCCCCGGGAAACCATTCTGTAGTACACTGGCCACAAATGAGTTATATCAGTCCATTTACTTTCTGTCAGGTTTCCTGCTTTTATGGGGCATGATGTACGTGTTCATGAATGTCATCATCATTTAAAAGACTGTATTAACAAGATATAGTTTAAACTTTTTTTGAGAGTTGCTCACCCTCCAAAATGGAGCCCTCCAGTGCGGTAGCCACGAGACACATGTAGCTATTTGCATTTCGGTGTGACTAATTACAATTACAGTTCACTGTTCAGCTCCTCAGTGGCACGGGGCCACATTTCACGTGTTCCGAGCTGCATGAGGCACAGCTTGGGACCACACAGACTTCGAACATTGCTAACCTCATCACAGAAAGTTGTAGTGGAAGAGGAGTGGCGTGGGGTCGCGCACTTGCCCTGTTGTACGGAGCAGCAGGCCCTGGTTTCCAGTCCATTGTTCTGGAACGTGGAGGCGGTTGTGGCTCTTGCTGTGGGTGGGACTCACATGGCAAACGCAGTGGCTGGCCCGAACCACACTCTCCTAGCCTCAGTCTCCATGTCTCTGTACTTGCCTCACTGGTGTGCAGCTCGTCCCTCACAGAATCCAGCAATTCATGGTGTTTATTTGATATTCAGACCCCTATTTTACCTGGTTTATAAGCTAAGATTAAATGTAGTTGAAAAATGGATTTTCAGTTAATTCCTCGTGCTTACTTGTATGTTGCCCGTGTAAATCATTAACATGGCCAACATTCTGATTGGGCGCGACGAAGTAAGCGTGTGGTAAGTAAGCGAAGTAAGTGTGGGTTCCTCCTGCAGCCATGTGATTACCTTGCTCTGTCTCTCCTAGTCTTTCAAAGACTCCTGCCGTAAGTTCTACCAAGCAGAGATGGAAGAGCTCGACTTTAATAACGCTACGGAAGAGTCCAGGGCACACATCAACACCTGGGTGGCCGAAAAGACAGACGGTGAAAAGACACTGTTACTTTTTCTTAATAGTCTTTTAATCGATCTTACTATCCATTCCTTCACAAGACCATCAAAATGCAAACAGGAATGACAGTTTTCTTTCAATAACTGTAAACTTTTAAAATCTGCCTCTGAAATATGATCAGTGTCTACTGCTTTTCTCTAGCCCTTCCCTGTTCTCATCAATGCATCTGTGATGTCTGAATATTCAGTACACGTCTTCTAGAACAATCCATATGGTTGTCATTGTTGTTAATATAGTCCTTCTTTTCACAAATACTGTAAAGAAAAAGATCCAGGCTTCATGCTGTACAGACTGCCACACATTACTAGCACACTTGCTCAAGCCCTCCTCCTCCGCGGCCCTTCACTGCGACTCTCCTGGACGCGCACACCGCCGCTCACCTTTCCGACAGTCCCTTACGTGCCTGTCTTTGGTCATAGGTGCCAAGTGTTCCTTTCTGTCTCATTTGTGCATTCATTCCGCACGTACTACTTTGTCCATTTTATGTTTTGTTCAAGCGATGGTATTTTTCTTACCAGGGCTTTTTAAGTTTTTGTTGTTGCTGTTGTTTTAAGGACCAGAATCCCCTTACGTGGTTATATTTGGGGGACAGTAAACTCCTTTTATCTGTGTATTTCACAAGGAGATTGACCAATTTAAATATTGTCCCTGATGCATGCATCAGGAAACTTTTTTTTTTTTTTTTAAGAGCAGGATTGGCATTCAGTTTAATGTAGCAGAGTGTGCAGCTCAAATGAAACTTTTTTTTTTTAATTTAAATTCCAGGTAGTTAATGTACAGTGTAAGATTAGTTTCAGGTCTACAATATAGTGATTCAGCACTTCTGTACATTCCTCAGCTCTCATCAAGTTAAATGCCCTCTTAATCCCCCTCACCTGTTTCAACCCCTCCCCCGCCCAGGTCCCCTTTGGTAATGGTCAGTTTGTTCTCTATCCATAAGTGTCTCTTTCTTGGTTTGTCTCTCCCTCTCTTTTTTCCCCCTTGCTCGTTTGTTTTGTTTCTTAAATTCCACACGTGAGTGAGATCACATGGTATTTGTCTTTCTCTAACCATCTTGCAATTCCTTTAGTTCACTGATTCTTTATTTCTTCTTTTCAGGTAAAATTACAGAGTTGCTATCTCCAGGTTCAGTTGATCCAATGATGAATCTGATTCTCGTGAATGCCATCTATTTCAAAGGAAACTGGGATAATCAGTTTAACAAAACGCAGACCATGGAAAGACCATTTAAAGTCAGCAAGGTGAATATTTTGGAATAACAAAGGAGACTCTTGGAACAAGTCCCTGTGTTCACACTGGTTTTTAAAACATGCAAGAAAGCTCACCTCACAAGCTAACTTGTGCCCTGTGCGGCCTCAGGCCGTCGGCAGCCGGGCTCCCCAGTGTGCCTTGCCCTTCTCCTTTGCTGTGTCATCAAAGGTAGCTACATACTCATAGGCTACTGTTGCCAGGTGTTCGGTCTACAATCATAAATCCCATGTCACTTGTCAGGCTTAAGGTCTTTCTCGGCTTTCTAGAACTTTTGAGATAAAGTTTGAACTCCAAATATGGTGTATGAGGCTCTTTGTAGACCCAGATCCTACCCATGTATCCCCATTTCTCTATCTTCATTCCCATCAGTACCTGTATACCCCTTCCTTTCCAGCAGCATCTGGAAGCCTTCCTTGACCATCTTCCCTGGTGGGGATTTCTGTATCCCTCCTCTCAGCAGCCGCAGTGACCCCGGCTGGTCCTCAGGGCAGCATTGCGGTGGTTGAATGCCCAAGGCCATCTGAGGGCAGATGGCTCTCACCAGTGCCTGGCATGTAGTTGGTGCTCAATGAATACTGAACAAATGACTGATCTGCAGTCTTCTTTTGATAATAAGGAGAACAAACTCTAATTTTTGTTTAAAAAATAAGCAAACAAAAGGACATGTAGATAAGGATAGACAGTAAGTTGAGCTATCTCCAGCTTTGAAGATGTTATTTGCTGGTGGCCTTATATCTTTTCTGTCACTGAATCTAGGACATTCTTTCTTTTTTACTAATCTCTAATTATAGAGATTTTTGCATATATATCTAAGTAGACAGAATAGATCAGTTACAGCCTATTCTTGATCACTGACCATGAGTTAGATCTTCTAAGCAGACATGAGCCTGAACTTTCAGTTTCTCAAGAAATATATTTTCCTTTGAGCTTTATTCTGAAATGAACTGCCCTATTTTCACCCAGGGAAATGATTTCTCTAAGATGTATATTGGGACTTGATTCATGGGAAGTTCATCTCCCCTAGCAGAGGCCTGCAGGTGGGCCAAGAGTGTATGGGGACCAGCTGGGGACCAGCTCCCTGTCTTGTTGCTCAGCCATGCTTAGCAGGCAGCCTTTGTTCTCTTCATCCTATCAGGGTCAAGGCATGAGCCATCCAGGCGGGAGGGAGGGAGAGGATGAAGGGTGAGAGCAAAAGCGCTCTCCTTCAGGGTTCTGACATCTTAGAAAGAGAAGCCTCTCTTCTGTGTCTCATGGGCCCGATTATGTTGTATGGCCTCTGCTGGCTGCAGGGAGGTGAGGACTTCCAGCTTGCTTCCTAATCTCTCCAGTAGAGAAAGGCAAAAGGAGCACACTAGGTTTTTTTTTTTTTTTTTTT